AATTAGATTAATAATGATAATGGCAATGCATGTACATGTATTAAGTAGAACGATAATAATAATAATTATTTTGTACATACATGTAGTTTGCTGACATAGTTTTGATTTAATAGCGATAGGCCATGCAACACCACAGTAATCCATGTACATGTAAACGCATCCATTCTCTGGCTTACAAAAAGTTATTCTTAATCTTAGCTGGTTTATTTCTTGCAAATTATAACATAATTAAATTTTAAAATTTGATGCGAAAATTTGCAAGCTAAATAATATTCTTAATACTTGTTATATTTAAAATATCACTCGAAGTAACCGAAACGTACACATGTACATGTCACATGATCCCACGTGATTGGACCAATGGCAATTAACCACGTAGAACATAATAACATGTATGATAATAAATATAATTTAGTTATTTACAGACCAGACACTTTTAATTTTAAAATACCATCTAATAAGCAAAATATTAAAATAAAACTAAAAATTTAATTCTTGAAAAAATTGAGTTTAAAAATAAATTGTAAATTTGGATATTAATCAGGATACCGATTAGGAAAATCAAATGATGGTATTTTTGTGTGATTTCACTTCATGTTGCAATATCCGGTTTGCCGATAAACGTCACTAAATTTTTTCGCCATTATGAAATTCACTAACACAATCTTGCAAAATATTTTCTCGGTACTAGAGAGAAAACATATCAATGGAGAAAAAGACTCTTTGCGGACACTATATTATTGTTCGCTAGTAAACCGGGAATGGAACCAAAATGCAATTCCATATTTATGGAGTTCGCCTTTTCACACACGCACAAAAATCTCTTCGGATTACACATCATCCTCACCCGAAAACTCCGGTTTAGCAACGAATTTGATAAATATTTATCTTGAGTGCTTAGATAATCATTCATTGGGAATTCTTAAAGAATATCAAATTTTAAGTGCTGAAAAAACTCGCTCAAATTCATTATTGCATAATTACCTAAAATTTCTTAAATATTTAGATTTACGCGGACTTGTTCATTATATCGGAATCTGGTTATCAAATTATACAACCGAAAAAAGTTTCGTTTTCCCATATCTAATACGAAAAGCTCAACTTGTAGTATTGAAGGAGTTGATAAGAAATGCACTAGAAAATGGCGCCGAACTAAACGAATTACGAATCGATACGGTTGTTGAAAATGAATTATACAATGAATTTGAAGATGAAAAATATTTGGAATGGTTGTCGTACACACCGGGATTGTTGACTTTCCCAAGGCACATGTCAATTATTTGTTATCCAGAGCAACGTTGGGTTCCTTTTGTTGTGGCTCAAAAGTGCAGAAATCTGGTAAGTTTATCGACTGTTTTTTTTTGTTTTGTTGTTTTTCATGTATAGAAATTGAAATACATGTATTTAATTAATTAGATAAGTTTAGAAATTGAATTTTACGATTCATGTTCATACATATCTATTAAAGATCTCAATAATAATCCGAATGAGATGAATCAAATCAAAAGTCTCTGGAAGGACCTCTTGACATACCAAAATGAACTCCGACATTTGATCATCATTGGAAATGTTATTGACCCATTTCTCTTTATTTCTTCGTTATCATCTCTCTCACATTGTTTATCCTTCATTACCTTTATTAATATTGACTTTTCAGAATGTCCGCCATTAGAATCGCTCAAAACTTTAAATGAATTGAAAGAAATAACTTTGGTAAATTGTTGTAATTTCAATTCATCTATAATCGATTCTCATATTTTTGCTCAATTAAATGTACATGTATACGGCAACAACTTGTAAGATTAGAACTTTCTAAATACAGATTGTATGACTTTTTTGAATACATGTACAAAACTCACTTCATAGAAATCTTCTGCATGTTTGTACAAAATAATTATTATTATTATCGTTCTACTTAATACATGTACATGCATTGCCATTATCATTATTAATCTAATT